TTTGATTTGGGGTTTGGAATCTGATTGGGTTTGGGGGTGTGGTCTGGGTAGGGGGTTTAATACAGGTAAGTGAATAGAGGCAGGGATTGTTTGCACTATCAGGGAGGCCTAGGAGAGCCTGACTTGTGCAAGTGGTTAACACACTCAGCTGCTGACCTGCTCAATTTCTGGAGGCTCAGGTCCACCCAGAGGTGCCTCAGAGGAGAGGTCTGGTGACCTACTTCTGGAAGGTCATCCATTGTAAACTCTGTGGAGCGCAGTTCTGCTCTGACCTGCACAGGGGCCCCACAAGTTGGAACAGATTCCACAGCAACTGGTTAGAAAAACTGCACCGAGCAATGTGAGAGACAGACAACGAGACGGGGGAAAGAGAGTGACGAGTGAGTGTGTGCTTGAGTGGCTGTGGGGAAGACAGAGACAGCAAGAGAGTGGGGAAAGAGAGTGACGAGTGAGGGTGTACCTGAATGACTATGGGGAAGAGACAGAGACGGCAAGAGAGTGGGGAAAGAGAGTGACGAGTGAGGGTATACCTGAATGACTATGGGGAAGAGACAGAGACGGCAAGAGAGTGGGGAGAGAGAGTGACAAGTGAGGGTGTACCTGAATGACTACGGGGAACAGACAGAGACGGCAAGAGAGAGGGGGAAAGAGAGTGACGAGTAAAGGTATACCTGAATGACTATGGGGAAGACAGAGATGGCAAGAGAGAGGGGGAGAGAGAGTGACAAGTGTGCCCGAGTGGCTGTGGGGAAGAGACAGAAACAGTGAGAGAGAGAAGGGGAGAGAGAGTGACGAGTGAGTGAGTGTGTGAGTATGTGCCTGAGTGGCTGTGTGCATGTGTGCAGGTTGGGTGAAGCCAGGTTATTAAAGTAGAGGAGGGTTCCATGGTACAAGGCCTCCAGAGTCAGGTCTGAGAGTGTGGCAAAGTCATCAAGAACAGTGGATGATTCTAGAGCGAGGGAATGACAGTGAGATGGAATAGAGGCAGAGAAAGACTGAAGGAGAAGCAGAAACCTGGAGACCTTACTCCAGTGGCGCATGTAGGAAAGCACTCAGAGTGGAAAGGGGATTCACTGCACAGACGTCTTCTAGACAGGATCCATTGAGTTCGGTGACATATGAATAAAGGTGTTTAGGAAGGAGAAGGAGGAATTAAAGGTGACTCCATCAGAATTTTCTGATTTACAGGTTATAAGCTTCTCCTCGCCAGTGCCCAGATCCTCAGCTCTTACATAATGAGGGTAGTTAACAGAGGCAGCATGTTTGGGGTGTTTACATTCTTCTCCATTCATGTACAGATATTTCATTTTTAGCTCAGTGGTCTTGAGGAGCTGAATTAGGGCTGCAGCAAGATGTCAGATTGCTTTTATCACTGTGGTGTTAGAGGCTTTTCAGAGCTGTTAGGACCCATTTGGGGCTTCATCCTTGACACCCAGATTACACACTACTCGTGAGCTCAATGCACCCGAGATGGATAGGCACCCTCATGGCCCCTGTGGCATCACCATGAATCAGAATTGATGACTTGCTGGTGATGAGTGTGTGGTTTTGGTTTTTTGCTGTGCAGGGTGCCAGGCTGGGAGTGAGGGGATAAGACAATGAGGACCCTACCTTCAGGGAGCTCCTGGTCTGTGAGGAGAGTGATGCAGAATTAACACTTGTGGATGGTGAATGGGCTGTTCTCCTACTGTGCGGAAGGCAGGGGGCCTCACACCCAGTAGGGATTACTGTTGTTGTCAATGTGCCTGGGCATGTCCTCTGGGGAAAACACGGTGTACCCCTTGTCCCCGCGGAGCATCTGAGAGGAGCCATTTTTAATGCATGTCAGGAATTCGGGTTCATCATTGGGGGTTAGGCCTGGGCCACAAACTTGGTAAACTCTTAGGCAACACATTTCTGCAGCTCAGCTAATGTGACATGAAGTAGGTGTTTCAAAGCCTCCTCGGCTCCTCTGACTGTTAGTTGCTGCTTCAGTAGGTTGTACAAGTACATGCTGTTGTAGGGAAAAATGACAAAAAAGCTCTAATGACTTTAACGGGAATGGGTTCCCTTGTGCGTTCCTTTCCTGCTGCCCACCGTCTGCTCATCCTCATTGGCTGGGCCTCACTTTGGTTCTTCTCAGTGATGAGGACAAGGGGATTGAAGGTCTTCCGGCCACTGGTCACTTGCTCTGGTGTCTCCCTTTGCCTTCCTGTTGTGAAGTACTTTGCTCTCCCTTCCTCTCCCTACCCCAGCATGCCTGAGTAAGATACTCAAACTCACTGTCATCAAGTTGATTCTGACTCATAGTGGCCCTCATTGGGTTTCCAAGGCTGTAAATCTTTTTTTTTTTTTTT